AATGTTACTGTTCAATAAAAGTCTATAGGCAGAGGTTATAGCCAACAAGCCAATTGTCAAAACTAAGTTCGATGGAAAGTAACGAAAAGTCGGGACTTTCGGAATTTAACTTCTATCTAACTGCAGTTTTCGTTTGTAGGAGACAAAATTTCACAGATGGAGGAGAATGACTTTGTCTTGCAGTACGCATTGTTGGCCCCTGACCTTCTTAAAAACGAGCTTGACCTTTGACCTCCTTAATGGCTCAACAATGATCCTCCGCCTACCTGCTCTCATCTTCTATAAACTAGTCACATATCTCGATATGCTTCGCATTTACGTAAATTTATTAGCTCAATGAATGGGTACGGGAAAAATCCTTCGCGAAGACATCCATACTGTATGCTCGGCACGACACAGGGGAAGGAACTCCCCTAAGGGCAATCAGTGGTAAAGTTAAAGTCCGGTTTAGGACAAAGTATCGTATGAAGACAGAAGAATATCTGCCCTTCCCGAAATCTTTTGCAAGCCCAACTGTACTACCGAGGGGTTCCTGTATCCGTGTCGTGCCGGCCTCCTCCCTCCCCTGAGAGTCAACACAGACCTACCGGTCGCCACTTTAGCTATTGATCGCAGTAAGCATTATTTGGCCCTGAGTACCCTCAAAAACCGACCTTGACCTTTGACCTCGTTAATGGGTCAACTATGTTCCTCTCCCTACGTGCTCTGATTTCCTAAAAAAGAGTCATATATTTCGCTATGCTGACTATTTACGTAAATGTATTTGCCTAGTAAGTACCGGAAAAATCCTTCGCCAAAACATCCTTACCGCACAAAGTAAGTATACTTGCACGACATAGGAAAAGGAACTCTCCCCCCCCCAAAGGGCAATCAGTGGTAACGTTAAGGTCAGGATGGGTTTAGGACTAAGCATCGGATGAAGACACAGGGATATCTGCCCTTCCTGAAATTTTTTTGCAAGCCCAACTGTATTACCGAGGGGTTCTTGTATCCGTGTCTTGCCGACCATCTGTAGACTGGATGTACAAAATACGAAACAAGCAAACATTATAAAGTTACAATGTCATTTGACAGCAATCGTCATGAAAGGGGATTTAGGTGATACTGCTCTTCTAAGCTGGTGTAATCCAAGAAGCGATTTGCGTGGGTTCTGTGGGAACGGTCCTAAATGCAAAAGGACTCACCGTCATGTGAGTAGGAAGAATAGCCAGGTGCTGATGTGTTGTCCAGTGAATCGATGGGTTTTGAGGGCAGGCGGATATCCCAAAAGAGAACCCGGCCATCATGTCTAAAAAGATGGCAATCAACAATTATAATAGCTCAAGAAGACAACTGTACGGGGGGTGGGAAACATCCACACGACGGTCATATCCACAGTTTTGGTAGGATAAATCCATTAAGGTCGAGATTCAAATGATTTTAGAAAAACCTTATGCAATGAAGAGTAAACGAGAGCTGATATCTACTATCGTGAGAAATTTAATCGCCAAAGAGCAGCAGGGCTATAATATCAAATTCTGCCTTACTTTCCATTGTCAATCAGCGAGACCTAAAAAACTGCGATTCTGTCATCGACATGCA